CGCACCTGTGCCATGAGCATGTGGGGGAGACCTCCAAAGCCAACAGTGCCTGCCCCAGCATCTTGGGCAGCCTCTTCCTCAAAAGAGAAGCGAAACCAGCACTGCACATCCCCCCTCACTGCTCCCTCCCCACTTCACCTCCTCCCTCTGCCCCAGGAAAGCCTTGGAGTCGGCAGCAAAGCCTGTGCCCCCACGGCTGGAGCTCCCCGGGTCATGCCAGCGGGACCCCAAGGCCGTGGGGCCAGGGCCAGGGCTCCTGCACGGCACCAAGGAGCAAGGGTCACCCAGGGGCAGGGGGATTCATCTGGGGGGGTCCCCAAGCACCGGCCCAAGGAGATTTACGCAGGGAGATGCCCAGAGCACAGCAAAGAGCTGGAGGCGAGATTTCGCCCTGCCCCAACCCCAGCGGAGCTGCTCCAGGGCCGGGGGGGAGCTTTCCCAACAGGGAGGTGATGGGCTCTGGGCACCTCAACTTCCAGCTCCCCACCCACGTGCCTCGGCTCCGCTCAGTCATTTCGCACACCCACCAGCTCTCACTTCTCCTTTCTTTTCTGTTAATTCAACCCCCAAAAGAAGGAACCACCCAGCAGCTGCACCCCCCGCCAGCTCATTCCCCCAGCTCCCGCCTCACCACTTGGACGTTGGCGAGGGCCCCGCGCCGGCTCAGCCATGGGCTGGGTGCTGTGGGGGCTTCTGCTGGCCTGGGGGTCAGTGGCTGGGGGGAGGGGGGCTGAGCAGCCCCAGGACCTGTCCTCCTCCTCTGCGGCGTCTCCAGAGTGCAAGGCAGCCCTGAAGCTCCCAGTGCTGCCAGGTGGGGGCTGGGATAACCTCAGGAATTTGGATATGGGCAGAGTCTTCAACCTGGGCTACTCGCTGTGCAAGACCACTGAAGATGGATCTTACATCATCCCAGACGAGGTCTTCACTATCCCTCGCAGGCAGAGCAACCTGGACATCAACTCCGAAATCATCGCGTCCTGGAAAGATTACCAAAGCATCACCTCCGCCTCCATCAACCTGGAGCTGTCCCTCTTCTCCGCCATCAACGGCAAGTTCTCCTACGACTTCTACCGGACCAAGACCCACCAGGTGAAAGACCAGGCTGTCACCACTCGCGTGCAAGTCAGGAACCTGGTTTACACAGCCAAGCTTGACCCGGGGGCAGCCCTGGACAAGGGCTTCAAGAAGCAGCTGCTGCTGCTGGCCAGCCACCTGGAGAACAACCACACGCGGATGGCGGATTTTCTGGCCGAGGTGCTGGTGCTTCACTATGGCACCCACGCGGTCACCTCTGCGAGCCAGCTTGGTGCAGGAGGATCAGATCAAGGCCACCTTCCTGAAGGACAGCTGGGCCACACAAAGCGCTGTCACCGCCTCAGCCGGCGTGGCCTTCCACAGCATCATCAACGCGAAAAACGAGGCGGCCCTGGACACCAGCTCCGGCTTCACAAAGCAGTACCTGGAGAACCGCACCAGCTCCAGGGTGGAGAGCATTGGCGGGACCCCATTTTACCCAGGCATCACCCTCAAGACCTGGCAGGAGGGCATCAGGAACCAGCTGGTGGCTCTCGACCGCACAGGGCTGCCCCTGTACTTCTTCATCAGCCCCAGCACCCTGCCCGAGCTGCCCGCGCCCACGGTGAAGAAGCTGGCCAGGCGCGTGGAGATGGCCATCCGCC